CTCGGCAATTCTGCGTTTGAGGGCCGCGACTTCCTCAGTGTCGTGGCCGATGGCTTTGCCCCGCCTGATCACCTCTCGGAGGTCTTGGTTGGCGTGGCTCTTGTCACCCAGGCGCTGGTGAACGGAGCGACGAACGACCGGGAGGCTTCGCTCCGGCCGGCTCTCCCCAGTCTGTTCCGTGGGAGCCGGTCTGGTACTCCTGTCGCGGCGGTTTTGGGCCTCACGGTTCGGGGATTGGGCCGTAGTTTTGGATTTTGCTGGGTTCCTCTGTCCACCGGTCTCCTTTTCGGGAGTGTGGAGCAAAGTGTTGCCGGGGTTCTCAGTGGGCACCGCAGTGTTTGCCCCGGCGGTTTGACTGGCGAGGGCCTTGGCGAAGACCCCCTCGAGGGCTTTGAGGACGTCAGGGTGCTGCAAAGCCGCAGCGAAAGTAGGAACTGGGGGGACGGGGACGATGGGTCCCTGCTGAATGCGACGGGAGGACTCCCCGCCATTGCGGCGGCGAGGCTGGGAGCCGGACTGCTGGGTGGAATCGTCATGTCCAGATGAAGGCATTTTGAGCGATTTTAAGAAGCGAAAAAGTGGGAAAAAGATGAGCGTGGTGTGGAGTTTTACAAGATCGAAAAGTAGACACCAAATAACTTATGATGCCCTCCTTCTAGCGCCAAACTGTTGACGGGCGTTTCCGGTCAACGGTTAAAAAGGTAAATAATGGAAAAGGAAATAACGTGGAGACAAGAAAATATGGTTTAATTGCAGTTTATTGACTGATCGCTAGGTCGGCCTCTCGCTCGAGGTCGGCACTTGCAATATCCTTACGAATCGTTACAGAGTAATTATGCGATTTTTAGAGAGAGAAAGTAGAGAGATAGCTATTACAGTTGAGTTTTCAACAACCCAAAATAAATGAGAAGGGTTGCTATTTATAGTAGCCTTTAATGTGGCACTGTTCAGGTACTGTTCATCAGTCTTGTCGTACAGTGTTCCTGCGGGACAGTCCGGCGTTTCTCTGACAGCATTAAATGCGATTTGAGGTTTCCCCATCATTAGGTGGCAGGCATTTAATGCTGACAGGCTTTATGTCTTACCTAAGAGGAGTAGGTCTGCAGGCTATGATGTCCCATCCATTTAGCCAATGATTGCCCCCCCAAGTGGCATTATTATACCATTATAGAGACCGGCATTCTCCGTCGTAGAGGCCCGCTCTGGGACCCCAAGTCGGCACCTCAGCATCTTACTTTCATCTGTTCCCCTGGTCCTGGGGGATCTTTCTTTCAGTCCGTCATTTCTCAGCCCGGCACCCATGGCGTCGTAATTGAAGATACCGAACTGACGAATGGTCTCACGGCGATGCCAGGGTCAAAAGGTTTTCCGGTCCAGCTCGGTACTTTGTGGGCGGACCGGGTCTCTGGTTCGGCTCTCGGAATTGCGTGGTCCGGTTCAGTCTTATGGGCGAACCCGGATGTCAACAGGATGATTGTTAGTAGCTTTTTTAGGCAAGCCTGTGGCTTGGTCTCTCATTTGTTCGGAATTGGGGTTTTTCCCTTGTACTCTTTTGCTATTTTGGTATTAATGGAGCTGTTATATCGTTGGAAAAAAAAAGCCTAGATAAATCTTTCATATAAGGGTCTGAAGATAAGCGAAAATGCTTCTTCCATATCCCATTTGTGTTTTGCACATGACTCACTCATTTTTTGTCAGGCTGATGATCACCATTCTTCTGTTTTGTTGTCCATCCTTAAGATTTATTGTGCTGCCTCAGGTCAAGCTATGAATTTGCACAAATAAAGTATCTTCTTTTCTAGAAACACTCCCCAAGCTATTAAGGAGGAAATCTGCAGATCTTTAGTGTTGGCCAATAAATCTATACATTTAGGTCTTCCATTGGGGATAGGTAGAAATAAGAGGGAAACTTTTTCTATTTTAAAAGAGTGTGTGGAAACTGGGATTACTAATTGAAAAAACAATTTCTTGAGTGAAGCTGGTAGGGAGATTTAGTTAAAAATGTGTTCAGTACTTTGCCCATTTATGTGATGTCAGTTTTTAAAATCCCTGTGAGTGTGTGTTCTGATATATGCAAAGTTTTTGCCCAACTTCTGGTGGGGTAGAAATGGGGAAGGGGGACATAAAATTCCTTGGGAAATTTGGCACAAGCTGGCAAAAGAGAAAGTAGAAGGGGGTTAAGGTTTCAAAGAGTTGAGGGATTTAAATGAACCCCTTATCCTTAAGAAAGTGTGGAGGATGTTGACCAAGCCAAATTTGCTAATGAGTAGGGTTATGAGGGGGAAGTACTTCTTTAGGCAGGATTTTTTGCAGATAAAAAATGAAAATACTGATTCCTGGGTTTGGAAAAGCTGGTTAGACACTAGAAAATCCTTACAGTTAGGGCTTAGATACCAAGTAGGGAATGGGTGTTCAATTGATATCTGGAACTCTCCATGGGTGCCAAATGCTGATAATTTTATGCCTAAATGTTGTTTTGAAGGGGACAAAAGTAGGCTACAAACAATGGCTGATTTGATGTCTACAGGAGGTAAGGCTTGGGACAGAGACTTAATTATGCAAACCTTTACTCCTGAGGAAGCTCATATGATCTTACAGATTCATGTCAGTCAGCATGGAACGCAGATAAACTCATATGGCATCCTGATAGAAGAGGTGTGTTCACTGTAAAGGGGGCTTATCAGGCAATCCGGCTTCAGAAGAGAATCCAGGCAAGTAGTATTGGAGGTAGTGCAAACATAAACTGGAGCCAGGTGGTATGGAAGATAACTTGGAAATTTCCTGTCAAGCAAAAAATAAAAAATTTCATATGGAGGTGTTTCCATGGATGGGTGAGGACTAGCCACAAATTAGTTCAAAAAGGGATCCAAGTGGATCCAATCTAATGTTGGTGTGGTGAAAAAGAGGAAGACTTGAATCACCTGTAGTTCAACTATGATTGAGCTAAAAAAAGCTAGAAGTTAGGATGCTTATTCTGGGAAGGCTTACAACATCAGAATGGAAGTTTCAACACTTAGTGGCAAGGGATATGCAGCATGATTAGGAGTACAATAAACAAGGACAGAATAACCCTATCCACATATATGTTATGGTGGATGTGGAGGACTAGAAATGCATGGAAGTTTAAGGGAGAGTACTTCTCAGAAATGCAAGTGGGTAGGAGCAAGGAAGGAATAGTTGGAGTTTGAGGGTGTTAATAAAGCAAAAACTGGAATGCAGTTAATGACTGAGTGTTCTGAACTAAATCAGGTAATAGGGGAGCCGGCTGAGGCTTTCAGTGTTACTGACCCACATCAAGACTCTTGGGTAATTAAGTATTCAGGCTGGAATGGTGATGGGGTGGAGACTTCATGGAGAATTTCTATGAGTGGGCAGGTTGTGTACTCAGTGGAACAAACTCTGATAGAGTTAAGTAAGGGGCTGACAAGAGAAGGTGAGCTTGGATGGACAAGGGTGCATCTATGGTGCAGAGTAAGGGCCACATACAACTTGTTAGCTGAGGAGGGAATTCCAGATTGGAGGTTCAGGGTGGTGCTTGATGACATTAAGGTCCTGTTATCTGGTTTTCTGATTTGTGACATTAAACTATGCCGTTAGTTTGTTTTTTGGTTTGGAGTTGATAGTATTGTTGTAAGTTTGTTGTTGTGTGATGACCGTGTGAGGTCCTTAGGGGATCATTGGTGCTTCAATATCCACTCTTGGTTGTACTTTGTCTAGACTAGGTTTGGACAAAGTTTAACCCCAACCATTTGGTTGGTCCGTATGTATATTTCGAGTTATGTTTTTATAATTTGATGCTTTGAGAAAATAAAATGATACATCAAACTAGCTCTTCAATTCAGAACATTGTGCTTTCGTATTAGTACTACTACAATACTCGTGTTACAAGAGCGTTAAAACGAGTGTTGAATTAAAAAGCATATATAAAAAATATTAGAGCTTTTATATGATTTATTTTTAAACTAAAATAATTTAGGTTTTAATTAAATTGTCAAACTATATTTTTTAATCCTAATAGTTAAACACTCGTATATAATTTTTGAATTTGGATGTCAAACTATATATATATATGTATATATATATATATATATATATTTTAACTTTATATGTAATTTTAGAATTTAGATAATTAATTATTTATTTTTAGTAAATTGATAGCATACCAGTTAAATTTTTAACAAATATCATTTTAAAATAAATAATATCATATTACTTCATCAAGTAATATGTTAATATTGGAGAGAAATATTGATAAATTAAAATCATATGATTGATTTAAGAGCCTCCGATGAAGAGCCTCCGATGCTTAAGTCAGTATATGTTTGTTCAATTTTCCAAAGTAAAGAATGGATAAATCGTCGACCCTAAGAAAAGACCCACTCCTATATATATAGGAGTGGGATACCTACCCCAAGAGCTGCCCGGATATTTGGTGAGTTGTCCTGCCCGCGCTGCCCGTCCGTACACACACTGTGTGTGTATTGTCAGAAACGTCAGGGGTGTCAGAGGTGGTTATTGCCACTATTACTCTGCACCAATATATTCCCGCCACGTGTCCCCTCTGAGCTGAGGGGAATTATTCCTTTGCACAGGCCGTTGGGATCTCCTGCCATCACCCACGCGCCTACTCGCGTTCAGGTCACGCTCTCGACTACCTCCTACCTGTTGTATGCCCGATATGATTGAGCTCCCCCTCGCTAGGTCGATCCTCGACCAACTCTGCTGTTCTGCTCGACATCTTCCGTTTTGGTCGATCATCCTTCAACCAACGTAGTTTTCTCTCCTATGCCTGCCTGGCCGTCATGACGAACCGGTCTACTCCTTAGTCGTATAATATCCCACATCATATATATATATATATATATATTTTAACTTTATATGTAATTTTAGAATTTAGATAATTAATTATTTATTTTTAGTACATTGATAGCATACCAGTTAAATTTTTAACAAATATCATTTTAAAATAAACAATATCATATTACTTCATCAAGTAATATGTTAATATTGGAGAGAAATATTGAGAAATTAAAATCATATGATTGATTTAAGAGAAGATATGTAATAGGAAAAAAATGAAATAAAACGAAAAGTATTATGGTAACTATAGTAGAAAAATATGAAATAAAATAAAAAATGATTGTTTCATCAACGTATTATCGAAATAATCATGCCTAATTGACATTTGACATGACACCCGAGCCTAATTATGTATCAATCCAAAGCATAGAATTATGATAAGAGGATCCCGGAACATGCGAGTCTGCTACTTAAACTCAGCACATTCAAAAATTATATATAATAAGAACCATATATAAGAGGATATTTAGGTACCACCTTATAAAAACGCGAATAGCAAATAGCTTCACACTTTGGTACGTGTGTTGTAATAGTGTATATATCGTTGACATATTTCATAACGTATTTGAATATAAAAATTTATATATTATTATTATTATTATTATTATTATTATTATTAGTATACAACAAAAAATAAACATACAAGTCAAATATAATATTTAAATATTAATTGTTGAAATCAAACAATAACACCGAAGTATTATTCATTACAAACATTTAGTGCAATTATCTTACTTTATCAGGATATAACGATTAAGTCATTAGCTTAATTTAAAGCGTTCAGTTCAAAATTAATATTGAACTATTAAACACCAGTGTATTACACGGGTGCTTGTTAAAAAATTATTCTTAAATTTTAAAATTAGTAACAAAAATTATTTTAAATTTTATTTACTTTTTTACAAAAAATATAATATATTTTAGAATGACACTTGTTACTTGTGTGACTTACATATGTTATATTATANACTAGCAACGCTAGAATAAAACTCGCAACTAAAACTATCCGACTAAAAAAACTAAAACAACAAACAACAACTAAAAAGACCCCAGCGGAGTAATATCCGAGTGTCGGATCCCAGTGGGATAATGAAGTGACACCCGGCTACACAGAGGCCAAACGGCCCAGACCAAAAACACAAATCTAAAGAAGCGAAAACCTGAACCACAACCTAACAACAAAAAAACAAACCATAAACAAAAACAGAAAGAGACACAGCCTCCCTCGCCATGAACATTGAGAATGACGACAGACAAACCATCTCCAACAACAGCTCTCGAGCCCGGAAAACAACCGCCCGCCACTGCTTAAGGCCTAGCAAGACGGGTACCCGCACCCCTGAGCTAGTCGAAGAGTTGGCCCGCACTCCAATCGCGTGAAGAAAACTACACGGCTCGGCTTCACCGAATCAACCCGACTGAGATAGCAAACCATTCATCCCAAACCGAAACGACTGAAACACAAACGAGCTGCCGAGCACAAACAGTAACCACGGCCCCCTCTTCGTGAACAACCGATTCCAACTCGCCCAGGAAGAACCGAGAAGTCCTTCCGATCACAGACAAATAAAAAACCGAGACAAAAGCAGCAAAAGAAAGGGCAAACCTCCAAACGCCGCTTTGCCGGCAGAAAGGCGCGGTCTTGATCGGCGGCGAGAAAAGCAGTCCGGAAGAATAGGTGGCGTTCCAACCAGAGCCAAGTGCAGCTAACCCAGCCTCGTCCATGAGCCCACACCGCACTCCAATCAACGCCGACAGCCCCTGAACTCCGGCGCTCGACCTGAACAGAGAAAATATCTCCGATGGCCGACGAAATCCGACGCTCAGACAGAGCCCCGCTGCAGCAATTGAGATGAGGATTGTGCCTCCCATGGACGAGCGATGGAGGCCGTCCACCGTCGGACTCGAATTTTCGGCGAGGGAGCTTCAATTTGCGAGCTTACCGGCTAGGGTTTCGGGGCGTTTTTTGGGAGCGAGAGAGAGAGGAAAAAGTGTGACTTACATATGTTATATTATATTAATTTTTATAACTTATATCATATAACTATTTGAAATATAAATATATTAAATGATAAATAATTTTATTTTTCTAATAAATATTAAAAAAGAATTTTATTATTGTTATCAGGATAAATATAATTTAATTGGTTTATACATATATGGATGTTAAATCGAATCTCATCAAGAGATGATTAATTTGATATATTATGTATGTAAAACTGATAAAAAATACTGAAGTTATTAACTTGTAAAATACATTTACAATTCAATATTTATAATAAGAAATTATATTAAAATGTAATTAATCTATATAACTGACAATAAATAATCAACATATTTATGTATAATCCTAACTTAATTATTTTTTGATTGGAAGTAAATTATAATCTACCCAAACCTAATAACGAAGCATGTAATTTTGCCACATAGGATCCCAAAGCATGCGAGTCTGTCACTTAGGCTCAACACATTCTGAAGTAATATATAAGTGGAGAGGGATTATAATAAGAAATTATATTAAAATATAATTAATACATGTAACATGACCACAAATAATCAACATATTTATGGATAATTCGGACTTAATTATTTTTGGATTGGAAGTAAATTAAAATCTACCCCAACCTAATAACGAAGCATGTAATTTTGCCACATAGAATCTGAAACATGCGAGTCTGCCACTTAGACTCAGCACGTTCTGAATTAATATATAGAGTGTAATGCCCCATTTATTTATGAATAATTTGGGATTATTTATTATTATTATTATTATTATTATTATTATTATTATTATTATTATTATTATTATTATTATTATTAATTGTCTAATTGTCATTAATTGTATAAATGCTTATTATTATTTATTAATTAATGTGTGTATCATATATATATAAATATTAATTGTCTAATTGTCATTAATTGTATAAATTCTTATTATTGTTTATTAATTAATGTGTGTATCATATATATATAAACATCCGGGTTTTATTTTAAATATCGTGCGATCAAACTGAGTTACTAATATGGCTAAGTCGAGCCTGTAAGAACCGAGAGACCCGGTCCGCGTGCCATTATCCCGCGCCCAGCCCGCACCGGCCGACCCGACCCGCCTCCTTTTCTTGTGTGGCAAGACTTGCGCCCTAATTTTTTTATTCACGCAGCTTCTCTTCTCTGCTATCATTATCTCTATCTCTCGTCCATCGTCTCCCTCTCGCCCTCACTCTTCTCTCTCGCCAAATCCGACCACCATCTCTCTCTCTCAAAAACGGTTGCCGCCGACCCCATTGTCGCTCGTCGGCCGTCGGCCCTCGCGAGATCGCCACCATCCTCGCTACGATCGCGCGCCACCGGCAGACCTGCAACTCCGCCGAGATCTTTCCTCCACGCAACATCGTCCTCAGCCGCTGCTCTCCTCTGTGAGACCTGCGCCACCGTGAGCAGACCGCGAACTCTTATCGCGATCAACCCCGACGATCCCTCCTCTCCGCACTGCAACCCGTCATGAAGTCACAAGCGCCCCTCGCCGCTGCTGCACTCATCCGGCGACCCTCACGGCAAGGGCGAGCAACCTGACGTTGCCCTCAGCCAACCGGTGATCACCCTCCCCGTGCGCTGCTCCTCCGCGAGCCGTCGCCGCTGCTTCACCTGCGAGCCGCACGTGAGCCGTCGAGCCCCATTGTACGTCCCCATTAGCCCTCGTTCGAACCTTTCTCGTGACTTTCCCGAGAATGGTACTGAGGCTCGATCCCCCTTTCGTTTATTTAAGTGTTATTTGATGTGTTAATGCCTTAATGAATCATAGAAAATGCATATAAAATCGAGTTATGCTCCAAAATTTCTGAAATTGGAATATGTTTTCCCTCTGTCACATATAGTCAGTATGTAAAAGTTTCATAATTTTTGGACTTCATTAGCTATGGTAAATAATTAATTGAATTGTTCTGCTGAACCTTGTTTGATTTATGAAAAATCGACCCCTTGCTTAAAATTGCTAAATTTTGGTGTATATGCTCAACTTATGATGTGTTTCATGATGTAAAAAGTTCAGATTTAATTGAGTTCATTTTGATGTGTTTCTGTTGAAAAAACGAATCCTTCTGAATCTTGCAATAAATCCTATAAATTGGGTCTTTGATGTTTAGAGCTGGAAATTTTATATGTTGATATTCACATGCTGTAGGTGGTTGTGTATAAATTTCAAGACTTGAATCATTCACTGAGTAAGACTATGAATTCATGCTCGATTTTGCTGAAATCTTGTTTGAACTTTTTTAAAATTGGTTGTTTTGAGTTAAGGGCTGAAACTTGGTGGTATTTCTATGTCCAGTGAGGTGAATTTTGTGTTAAAATTTCAAAGGCTAACTCGTCTATTTGCCTGATCAACTAGAATATATGATAGGTTCATAAAATATTGTTATCTTTTAGCTTATTATGATTAAGTCTAAATTTTTAGGTAATCTTGTTTATATGTTACTCCTTGTTACTTGTCTTGACTATCCTTTATTTGAGTTTATGTGTACTTCCATGATTGGTTTGGTCGAGTCTAAGTGCTAAGTCCAAGTGTTCCAATGTCCACAGGACTCCACGAATGACTTGGTTGAACCAAGTTCGACTAAGTATGATTTGTGTATTCCTTTTAAAGTCAAGATAAGTGTTGATTGTAGTATCTCGACTTAATGTAGGTATTTAAGGAGTCAAGCCTCGACCTACGTCACTTCTTATTGTGCTTTTGCCAATCCGAAATACCAGGTGGGTTAGTTATTCTAAAATGTCTATTCAATGTGTGTTTTAAATGTGTTGAAATTGGTTTGATCTATGTATGCATTTAAGCATGTATCCTATCGATGTGAGTTGTTACGGCCGTCGGTACGGTTGTCCCCATCGTTGTAATACGGTTGCCCGTTGCGGGGCAAGTCTCCTTAAGACCTAATGAAAGGCCGTGTATGTAGCGTGGTATGTACTCCCACCGAGAGGGTAATGAATCCCCTTTCCGCGGCTAATGAAAGATGTGTACACAGGAGTAATATATTGATGTGATATTGTGTAGGAGATGAGACATGTTGATATTGTTTATCTTCATGCTGCGACCATACCTTTTTCACATATTCATATGCAAAGTGGTGAGCATTACGTTTTCCTTTTATGCTCACTCTCATCTGCTCTTCACGGATGCAGGTTAAGTAAGTGGCAGATGACGAAGCAAGACGAGTGGGTGGTCATTAGTTATTAATTTTCGCTTCCGCAGTTTTTATGAACTCTTGAATTATGAAACATGTTGAATTGTTTCTCGTTACATGTTTTGGGATTGATGATTTTGGATATTCATGGTACGTGTTTTATTGAATAATATGTTTGGATTATTCATGTTGAATATCTTGTGAGTTATGTTGTGAAATGTGTTAATGAAAATCTTATGAAAACCGGGTTTATGAATCCCCGTGGGTCCAGATAAGACTTGGGCTTTATAAATGTTGTGAATAATGCCCATGTTTTCGAAAATGATTTCGACAAATGTTTTACTGATTTTTGGAAAGTTTTGAATTTCTTTAAAATCAAAGTGGGGCGTTACAGTTTGGTATCAGAGCCAGTCTGCGTTTCTGTAGACTGATTATTATGTGAGTTACATGTATATGTGATTATGTGAAATAGACTTTGTGCTCTGACCACTCGTCTTCGTCTTGCCGCATTGCTTAAAGGTACGTCTTATATAAGTATCAATGAAAATACTTATATTGTAAGTTGTATATATGTTTTGCATGAGTAGCAATGAGACTACTTGTGATGCGATTTGATGTATCTTTGGGGCTTAGGAAATGGCTATCCACCTTTGATCAATGTTGAACTCTAGTGGTATAGAGTTAGATTTTGACTTTAGAGGTTTCTCGTTCTGAGTTCTCGAAATGTCGTTATCAAGTTAAGTTCTGTCCATAGCATCTTCTCGCTATAAGACTTTATTCAGTGTCCGCGAGTAAGGACCATTCGCGAGCCATCTTGAAAGAGAAGGCTTAGATGGAGGGAGCAGACGACCAAAGAAATCCCAAGTGTGTGGATTACTCGGAAGTCTGTAACCATAGAACCCAGGCAATGAAAACTAGGAGTGAAATTTAGTGCGTGGCACTGCCGCGGCTCTCGAGGATGGCTAGGCCTCGGGGGAGTCGATGGTGGTCAAGTCCCGTGCGTAAATCGAGCAGAAGTCATGAAGACTGATGCATGGGTGAAAGACTACGACATCGTTCGTGGGACGAGTGGACCAATCCGACTGGATAACTTATGCCAGGGTTACTAGACACGCGGTTGTGATGAGAATAAAAGGTATGAATGTGTGTTGATATGTATGCTGTTGTTGATGTAAATAAGTTGCTTTGGATACGGAGATTAATGAGTTGATGAAGTTCATGTTAATTTGAAGCATGACTAGTTGAGTATGAGATGAGGATTATGTGACTTATTTATGTTCAAGCATGTTTATGTGATTTGGTTAAAAGCAAAAATTCATGTGGAGATCTATGTTATGATATGCTAGAAACCATGTTTTAGGGTTTATGTGGATTCATATGAGATATGTTTAGTCTATGAGGTTCTGTGATGAAAACGTGTTTAAGCATGTTTAACGTCAAACCCTTCCCTTGTTTAATTTTCACATGAGGCGTAATTATGCTCTTTATATGTGTTGTTGTGTAGAGTGCCTCGTTTATTTTAGGATTTTGTTCAGATTCATATGATATATATATATATGTAGTCTTCAATGAATTATGTTGCCATTGTTATCATGTTTTATGATGAGAAATTGTGGTTAAATTGATATCAAGTAGGGAATGGGTGTTCAATTGATATCTGGAACTCTCCATGGGTGCCAAATGCTGATAATTTTATGCCTAAATGTTGTTTTGAAGGGGACAAAAGTAGGCTACAAACAATGGCTGATTTGATGTCTACAGGAGGTAAGGCTTGGGACAGAGACTTAATTATGCAAACCTTTACTCCTGAGGAAGCTCATATGATCTTACAGATTCATGTCAGTCAGCATGGAACACAGATAAACTCATATGGCATCCTGATAGAAGAGGTGTGTTCACTGTAAAGGGGGCTTATCAGGCAATCCGGCTTTAGAAGAGAATCCAGGCAAGTAGTATTGGAGGTAGTGCAAACATAAACTGGAGCCAGGTGGTATGGAAGATAACTTGGAAATTTCCTGTCAAGCAAAAAATAAAAATTTCATACGGAGGTGTTTCCATGGATGGGTGAGGACTAGCCACAGATTAATTCGAAAAGGGATCCAAGTGGATCCAATCTAATGTTGGTGTGGTGAAAAAGAGGAAGACTTGAATCACCTGTAGTTCAACTGTGATTGAGCTAAAAAAAGCTAGAAGTTAGGAGGCTTATTCTGGGAAGGCGTACAACATCAGAATGGAAGTTTCAACACTTAGTGGCAAGGGATATGCGGCATGATTAGGAGTACATAAAACAAGGACAGAATAACCCTATCCACATATATATTATGGTGGATGTGGAGGACTAGAAATGCATGGAAGTTTAAGGGAGAGTACTTCTCAGAAATGCAAGTGGGTAGGAGCAAGGAAGGAATAGTTGGAGTTTGAGGGTGTTAATAAAGCAAAAACTGGAATGCAGTTAATGACTGAGAGTTCTGAACTAAATCAGGTAATAGGGGAGCCGGCTGAGGCTTTCAGTGTTACTGACCCACATCAAGACTCTTGGGTAATTAAGTATTCAGGCTGGAATGGTGATGGGTTGGAGACTTCATGGAGAATTTCTATGAGTGGGCAGGTTGTGTACTCAGTGGAACAAACTCTGATAGATTTAAGTAAGGGGCTGACAAGAGAAGGTGAGCTTGGATGGACAAGGGTGCATCTGTGGTGCAGAAACAGGGCCACATACAACTTGTTAGCTGAGGAGGGAATTCCAGATTGGAGGTTCAGGGTGGTGCTTGATGACATTAAGGTCCTGTTATCTGGTTTTCTGATTTGTGACATTAAACTATGCCGTTAGTTTGTTTTTTGGTTTGGAGTTGATAGTATTGTTGTAAGTTTGTTGTTGTGTGATGACCGTGTGAGGTCCTTAGGGGATCATTGGTGCTTCAATATCCACTCTTGGTTGTACTTTGTCTAGACTAGGTTTGGACAAAGTTTAACCCCAACCATTTGGTTGGTCCGTATGTATATTTCGAGTTATGTTTTTATAATTTGATGCTTTGAGAAAAAAAATTGATACATCAAACTAGCTCTTCAATTCAGAACATTGTGCTTTCGTATTAGTACTACTACAATACTCGTGTTACAAGAGCGTTAAAACGAGTGTTGAATTAAAAAGCATATATAAAAAATTTTAGAACTTTTATATGATTTATTTTTAAACTAACATAATTTAGGTTTAAATTAAATTGTCAAACTATATTTTTTAATCCTAATAGTTAAACACTTGTATATAATTTTTGAATTTGGATGTCAAACTACATATATATATGTATATATAAATATATATATATATATATATATATATATATATATATATATTGGTAACGCAAAACACTCCGATCGGCTTGAAATCGGTTTGCTTCCTCCTTCCTTGCTGATAGAACGCCGCGTCCCTGCACAGAACTCTCACACTGGAGGGGTTTTCCGGTGAAGAGCCTCCGATGCTTAAGTCAGTATATGTTTGTTCAATTTTCCAAAGTAAAGAATGGATAAATCGTCAACCCTAAGAAAAGACCCACTCCTATATATATAGGAGTGGGATACCTGCCCCAAGAGCTGCCCGGATATTTGGTGAGTTGTCCTGCCCGCGCTGCCCGTCCGTACACACACTGTGTGTGTATTGTCAGAAACGTCAGGGGTGTCAGAGGTGGTTATTGCCACTATTACTCTGCACCAATATATTCCCACCACGTGTCCCCTCTGAGCTGAGGGGAATTATTCCTTTGCACAGGCCGTTGGGATCTCCTGCCATCACCCACGCGCCTACTCGCGTTCAGGTCACGCTCTCGACTACCTCCTACCTGTTGTATGCCCGATATGATCGAGCTCCCCCTCGCTAGGTTGATCCTCGACCAACTCTGCTGTTCTGCTCGACATCTTCCGTTTTGGTCGATCATCCTTCAACCAACGTAGTTTTCTCTCCTATGCCTGCCTGGCCGTCAAGACGAACCGGTCTGCTCCTTAGTCGTATAATATCCCACATCATCTAGTCCCCCCCACTCTGGTCGAGTCTGAATGACTCGATCTAAGAGTGGATTCGAGCCGTCCTTTCCATTTTGTCAATCCTCTCGATCTCCTACTCGCACCTGATCTCTTCTCTCGATCATTTTTGTCGATGTCGATGCCCAGCCTCTTTTCTCGACCATTTTCGCTGATGTTGGCACCTTTCTTCGACCACATGGTTCATTTTAATGCGCATCATAACTGTCTTTTATTTCCTTTTATTATTCAGCGTGGTTTCCGCCTGCCACATGTCCTCTCACTCTGCACTTTTCATCATCGCGCCTCCTCGCGATTCGTGTCGCTTCGTTATCTGCGCCCCTTTAATATTTTCCACCGTTGGATCTACTTTTATCCAACGGCCATATCCACTAACTCATCACCTTATTCATTTGTACTCATATAAATGCAATACTTAGCCCTTTTTTCCACTTTTCCCACTTTGCAATTTCGAACTCTCTGGCATTCTGCTTTCTTTCTCTGCAAGTTTCTCCTTCCTGCACTCGGTGCCTCTTCAAGCAATTTCCGACGACCACTTCTCTACTGCGACCATGAGTAAGTTTCCTGTGCTTCCATTTTATATTTGCGTGCGTTTATTTTGTCAATTTGCGATTTTTCCTGGAACTTCTTCTTTTTCCCCAATTCTTCTCGCTTCGCTTGTGGCAAAAAACCCACCTTTCTTGCTTTTCGAAACCCTAAGTCCTCTTCTTTTCCCCTCAATTTTTGTTCTACTTTTCAGATTCCGCTGATTCTAACGCATCGAGCCATCAGTTTAGTGAGGATGGGACAAGCGCATCGTCTCTCCCTATTCGCCAGCCTATCCCTCACTCGCCTTCTCGCTCTGTTGAGGAGATCTACAATCTTGTTCCTATCAGCGGTTTACGCCCTTCCGACCACGCCACACCTTCTCCTTCTCGCCAATCTACTCGTCTGATTGACGAATCAGATGAGGATACCCTCGATCACATCCCTCTAAAACGCCGCCGACCGGCGTTCGGGGCTTCTGACGCCGCCGAGGAGGCTCTCGATGCAACCGAGGCTGCTGCTGAGGAGGATGAGGATAACGTCCCCCTTTCTCGCCATTCTATCTTCGCTCAGGTTACCCCTTATCCCAACCCTAAGAAAGGTGTTTCGAAACCCTCCAATGCTGCTATCCCTAAGAAGGGTAAGTCAACCAAGACCCCTATCTCTTCGAAGAAGGCTTCTTCCTCTTCACGCTCCTTCATAGCCGGCTGGCTAGATGCTGAAGAGATTGGCTATCCTGTCGGCTGGGCCTTCGTATCCCCCGGCCCTCGCGATACTTATGATAATCCCCTTTCGAACTGCTACACTTTCTTCGAGGTGCAATTTAAACTGGGCGTCCGCTTTTCTTTAAGCCAAGATTTAGTCGACCTCTGCAAGTAGTTCAATCTGCCCCTGAACCAACTTCCTCCTAATGCTATCCGATTTATTACCGTCTTCATCATCCTCTGCCACATCCGTCGAGGTCGGCTCGACTTGGATTTTTTCCATTACTACTATACTCCCTCCAGACATGCTCAGGGGATCTACCTCAAGAGTCGCAACGATGTCCACTTCATTTCGGACACTCCCACAAATGTCCCCCGCTGGAAAGACAAATTCGCTTTTGTCGAGCCTAGACCTGCTTTCCCTTGGGCGTCATCTCCGTGGCTTAAAGAATTGCCACGCGAGTACTCCATACCCTCAACCAACGCCCTCTTCGACCAGCGGATTGCGGTATGGAACAACAAGCCCGTTGCGTCGAAGACTCTGCTCGAGGATGAGGACCTCTTGCATTTTTGTGGACTACTTACCCATAAACCCTGCCCTCTCCCAGCCAGAAGATCCTTGACTTGGTCCGGATAGAGGGTGACCCAGGTATGCGTTACAGGCTCGAGCATTATTGTGTTTGATTCACCTCGTTATGTTTGTTCCATACATTTACCTATTACGTCTTTGATTTATGTGTAAATTTTTTGCAGAGATGCCCGTCATCTCTGTACCCAGGAGGAAAGCTCCTTTGAGGAAGAAGCCAGTCGCTGAAGGGTCAGGCTCAAAACCCGCTGACTCAACCACCTCCCAATCTATGCGCTCGGCCTTCCCTCCTCCGAACATAACTGTCCAGCAACCTCCTTCAGTCAACCTTCCAACCGAGCAGCCCCTCGAGCCATCAGAGCAGCTCGAGAAACCATCCTCTCCACCGCCTCATCTCCTCCGCTGCGTTCTCCCACGCACGACCAAACGACCCCGGTCGTACATATCCCTGCTTCTCCAGAGCGAACTCAGCTAGTGGAGAATCCACTTAAACGCTCCTCTGCTGGGGAGGACGAAAATGTCACCAAACGCCGCCGCGTTGAAGAGACCGCCCTCTCGATTACAACGCTCGACGGTCTGGGGTTTTCGCATTATCTCAGGGATGTTCTTCCCCCCGTTGACTGTCCCACCGACCGTTATAACGATGGCCACTCCCTTCGCGATCGCGGCCAACGGCTTGCCCACTGGCTGGCTCAGGTAGCTTACTGTTTCTCAATGCATGTCCATTTTCATTCCTCGTCTTTCGCTTGTTAAGTATTCCAACATTTTCTATTACGTGCCCCTGTAGGGAATGGTCGAGCTCGCGCCATTAATCTAGCAGACCCTAGCGAGCCCTGGTCGATCTATCTCGGCCCTCGAGCGGAGTAATCTTTGCCTTGGCACTCAGCTGCAAGAAACTATCGCCAAGGCAAACGATCTCCACGAGAGGTTGAAGGAGTCGGCTGCCCGTAACAAGGCCCTCTCTGATGAGAAGGATACGCTCGAGGGGGCTTTGAAGTCCTTCGAGGAGGCCCTCGCAGCGGAGCGAGCAGAGAAGGAGGCTCTCCTAGCCTCCAAGAAAGCTCTCGAGACTGCGCTCGAGGAGGAGAAGTCGGCTCGGGCACGTGAAAACGTCGCCTTCGAGCAAAGGGCTAAGCCGTTGGTCGACGAGGCTGCCATTCGGGCTCGACGGATGGTCTTCCATACCACAGCTGGTCGACGCCTCCTACAAGCTTACCGCGAACAAGTGGTTTCTGCTTTCAAGCAGTCGCCACAGTACTTAAAGGATGTGCAGGACTATGGCACCCATTGTTTTGGGGCCATAATGCAGCAAGCGGGGGTCCAAGTCGCTGAGGACGGGTTTGAGGAGTTTAACATGGAGGCCATATGGGATGCTATGCCGAAGGCTCCTGTCGGCTATGAAAGCGCCCTCGATTTGCCCGATGACCATGACTGGTGGTCCGGTCTGCTCGAGCACGTCGTGGAGCAGGACGACCTGCTGAGACGTACCTTCAAGCTCCCTGCTGGCTACATTCCTCCCCTTGCTCGTCAGACTCAATCTACTGATGGAGTTGGCTCGACCTCTTGCTCAAGCCACCCGGCTGAACTCGCGGAGTAGCAGCCCGAGCCGTCACACGAGCCGGCCTCGACTGACCCTAGTGCCAATGTTGACCCAAACGTTAACTCATGAGCTTGTAATTTGAATTGCGTTGAACGCTGTACTTCGTATTGTTAATTGAATGTCATTGTAGTTTCACTATTTCTCTCTATTTGCCTGTCGATGCTTTATTTCGTTTAATGTTTCCGTTACAAAGTCTGCATTGTCTCCGTTTGTTGATGTTATTCTCATCAATTTAGTAAGCCACGCCATTCGTCCGCCTGACTAAACATGATCTATTAATGAATTTTAACAGTCATAAACACCTCCCAACAAGCGACCATGCAGCCTCTCGGCCTTAGTCGTTTATAGGTTTGTTTATCCTCGAGCGCATGTCC